ATATTGCCTGAATGCGTTTTGTGGACAATAGTGTTGTGTTATTTAAGGTTCAACTTCACGTGCTTGTGCAACGTTCAGTGTGCTCTCTTCGGAAAGAACGGTGCTGTTAGTATGGCTGACGTAAGGCATAAAGGCACTTAAACATTTAGGAGTTAAAACAGTGACAGTCCATTTATGAAAATAACAGTGCTGAAAAGTACTACAATAGAACCCGGATCCCCTACATACTTTTGCCTTACAATATAGGTGACGAGCCATCTTCATACATTTGCACTGCATGTTCCTGATCCAATACAGAATTTTTTGGATATCGAAGTATTTTGAGAGTGACACATCTATGTTTGTAAAGCCTTGAAAATTACAGAACTGTTGTTAAAAAAATAATTAATATGGGTCTTGAGTTTAAACTTGTATAACTGTCATATGCTTTTCCCCCTGTCGCATTTAGTGTGCTGCACGTGAATTTTTTGAGAATGCGATTTCATTTTCTGTTATTTTTGACAGGTGTTGTTTGTGTTATATTTCTAAGCAAAACTTAATATTATACAGTACTGTGCCGAGTTGAAACGTGCATGAATTTAAAAAGCTTAACAAACATTCCAGTATTATTTTCACATGAGGTAAAGATGTGTTCAGGTTCTCTGCTTCAGAGCTTTATTGTGGGGACTTATTTGATGTTCATGTTTTCGACTCTAAGCGACGCTGTTGGTCAGTGAAATAATTTCTGTGTCATGTCGTCATTCAGTCCATCCTCCGACTGACTATACAGTGAAGAAGGCTCTGTGTGTTGTGTAGAGGTTTGAGCGACGAAAGAGACAACATGGTCGCACAGACTTAAACCTTGAAGACGTGTTTAGATGTGACCAGTAAACGGAAACATCACAGCCTGCTTTATCCTCATATCAGTTGGATAAATATCACCTTTTTTTATTCTTTGTTGCCATGATGGCAACTCGAGGATCCGTCGCCTACATCTGCGCAAGATGGCGATTGTTTTGTGGATTGCGACGGCAAATAGGACTGTTCATGTTGCTGCTTCATGTGGTGAACATGGTAGGTGGTCAGATTCGTTATTCTATACCAGAGGAGATGAAGAAAGGCTCTGTTATCGGTAATGTAGCACAAGATCTTGGTTTAGATCTGAGGAGGCTCCGTTCTGGGCGGGCCCGTATCGTGACCGGAGAAAATATTCACTACACCGAGCTGAAGACAGACAAAGGGATTCTAGTGGTGAATGAGAGAATAGACCGAGAGCAGCTTTGTGGAGACGTGACACCATGTAGCTTCAGCTTTGAGGTGATTTTAGAAAATCCAATGGAACTGCACAGAGTAACTGTCGAGGTTTTAGATATAAATGATCATGCTCCCGTCTTCCCGAACAAAGACAAATCTATCAGCCTCGAAATAAGTGAATCAGCTGTAGTAGGAGTAAAATTTCCACTCTGGAGTGCAGAGGATCGAGATGTGGGGCAAAACGGATTGCAACATTACGTTTTTTCACCAAACGACAATTTCATATTGAAGCAACATGCAAATCCAGACGGAAGTAAATATGTTGAAATGGTGCTCCAGAAGCCTTTAGACAGAGAGCGACATCCCCATCTGTCTTTAAAACTAATCGCAGTTGACGGAGGAACACCACAGAGATCTGGGACAGTAAATATAGATGTTACTGTTTTAGATGCAAACGACAATGAACCACTATTTAACCAATCAGCATATAAAGCATCTGTGATGGAAAACACACTGAAGGGGACTGGTATTGTGACAGTAAATGCCACAGACGCTGACAGCGGTTCATATGGACTCATTTCGTACAGTTTGTCTCAGACGACAGGAAGTGCAGCAAATATATTCAGTATTGATGAAAACACCGGAAAGGTTTCTGTGTCTGGTCAGATAGATTATGAAAAAGACAGAAAATACGAGGTGAGAGTAGAGGCAAAGGATCAGGGTGGCCTAACCGGGACAAGTAAAATCGTAGTTGATGTTATTGATGTCAACGACAATGCTCCAGTTATTAATATTATGTCGTTTTCCAGCCCCCTGTCTGAGGATGCGCCTCCTGGTACAACGATTGCTATACTGAACATAAAAGATGCAGATTCTGAGAATAATGGTCAAATAAAATGTTCCATAGATGGTAAACTTCCTTTTAAGATCGAATCATCTCTAACAAATTATTACAATTTGATCTCAGATCAACATTTTGATAGAGAATCCGTCTCAGAATATAACATAACAATAACAGCCACTGATCTGGGGTCTCCCCCACTTTCTAGCTCCACAATATTACATCTTAAAATTTCTGACGTAAACGACAACGCCCCATTATTTGATAAAAGCAGCTACTCTGCTTACATCACAGAGAATAACTCCCCTGGAGTTTCTATATTTGCTGTCAGCGCGCGAGACTCTGACTGGAATCAAAACGCCAGAGTGTCGTATCTTTTAGAGGACACACAAGTCAGTGGCAGTCCAGTTTCTACTTATGTGTCTTTAAACTCTGAAAGCGGAGTTCTTAGTGCGGTTCGTTCTTTTGATTATGAGCAAATCAAACAGCTTCAGCTTGTAGTCAAAGCGCAGGATGGAGGCTCCCCTCCACTCAGTAGCAACGTGAGTGTGAAAATACTGATCCAGGACCAGAACGACAACCCTCCTCAGGTGCTGTACCCAGTGCAGACTGGTGGGTCTGTGGTGGCTGAAATGGTGCCTCGTTCAGCAGATGTGGGCTATCTGGTGACTAAAGTGGTGGCTGTTGATGTGGACTCTGGACAGAATGCCTGGCTGTCCTATAAACTGCAGAAAGCCACAGACAGGGCGCTGTTTGAAGTGGGCTTACAGAATGGAGAAATAAGAACTATCCGCCAAGTGACTGATAAAGATGCTGTCAAACAAAGACTGAGTGTTATAGTGGAGGACAACGGGCAGCCCTCTCGTTCAGCTACAGTCATTGTTAACGTGGCGGTGGCGGACAGCTTCCCTGAAGTGCTGTCTGAGTTCACTGACTTTGCACACGACAAGGAGTACAATGACAACCTGACTTTTTACTTAGTCTTGGCTTTGGCTGTAGTTTCCTTCCTCTTCATCACGTGTTTGGTGGTTATTATATCAGTGAAAATCTACAGATGGAGACAGTCTCGCATCCTGTATCACTCCAGTCTCCCTGTCATTCCATATTATCCACCACGTTACTCAGACACTTTGGGGACAGGGACTCTCCAACACGTGTACAATTACGAGGTGTGCAGGACGACAGACTCCAGAAAGAGTGACTGTAAGTTCGGCAGAGCCGGTAGTCAGAACGTGCTGATAATGGACCCCAGTTCTACAGGGACGATGCAGCGGATACAGAGTGACAAGAGCATCCTGGATGAGCCAGACTCTCCTCTAGAGGTGAGTCAAGTAATGTACCTTCGTTTCTTTGCCATTTCTTCTCTGTATTCAGTTACATTGATGGTAAAGTGCCACACGGTCTGCTGTCCTCTTCAGCATTACGGACAGCGCCTCACTTTGCATCACTTAAAAGGAGTGCTGCTGTAGTCATATTTGAATCATATTGCCTTTCATCCTCAGTTAGTGATATGGTGTGTTATTGTTTCACACTGGATGTGACTTTGAGGCATTTGGTGTTAACGTGCATGGATGGGTTGCTGGTTTCTACATGTATTAGTGCATTGTGAGTGATCTTTAGAGTCTCTTGCTTCCACTCTCATTGTTAAAAGATACTTTGAATGTTACTTAAATTATTATTCTAATAACCAAAAGTGCTCCTCCCACGGCTCTCATTTGACATCAACTATCTTTACCATGCTCCTTGTGTTTTTGTTTCAGAGGGCTTCTCCAAATAATGATAGAAGTAGAGTGGTATTTTGTGGGGGTTTTGTAGATCCCAGTTGTACAGGGATGATCCTACAAATACAGAGTGAAAAGAGCATGAGCCAGACTGTCATCTGGAAGTTAACTTAATATTCACTTCGTCAGTGTTTTGTACTTCAGTACCATGGACAACATCCCAGTCAGTTTGCATCACCTAATAGGAGTTTTGCTCTGGTCAGAATTTTCACAGGTTTAGCAGTGGAGACCACATAGCTGTCAAACTATATCTCCTGCACACAAACTTTACATTCTAATCTGTCTTTGCAGTATTTGAAAATCACACAACAGCCTCTTGGGAGTATATTTTACTACTGATCACAAATTCATACAAATACATTTTTGCATACTTATGTAACATATAGGAGACAGCATCACTTACATATGACACTGTAACACCTTGTAAGATAATTTATAAGTGTATTGACTCATTACTGTAGTTGCATAATGAAAACATGCCCAGTGTCATGAACATTATAACTTCAAAGCCCATGTTGATGCTTTACTTAATTTACAAATGGCTGTTTCATTAATTTAGTGAGACCAATTGCATTCTCAGCATATTATTTGAACTGTGATGTCACACAGTTCGTTTTTAACAGTCACTTCAGTGGAATCGTAGAAAACCATGTTAAACGTTGCCTTAAATTACATGTGTTGTCTTAAAAATCAACCTCAATGTGATTTATGCAGTATATGGAGACGTATTGTTTCTGTCAGACTGTTTTAGAGTGCTGCAGTAGTGCTGTGCACGTTTTAGACTCTAAGGGACGCTGTTGGTCAGTGAAATAATTTCTGTGTTATGTCGTCATTCAGTCCATCCCCTGACTGAAATATACAGTGAAGAAGGCTCTCTGTTTTGTCGATGTTAAGGGGACGTGAGAGAGGACATGGTCTCAGGGACTTCACTGTAAAGGTTGAAGACGTGTTTATATGAGACAAAGAAACCGATTTATAAGAAGCAGCTTTACTGACATATAACTGGATATATATCACCTTTTTTATTCTTTGTTGCCATGATGGCAACTCGAGGATCCTTCGCCTACATCTGCGCAAGATGGCGATTGTTTTGTGGATTGCGACGGCAAATAGGACTGCTTATGTTGCTGCTTCATGTGGTGAACATGGTAGGTGGTCAGATTCGTTATTCTATACCAGAGGAGATGAAGAAAGGCTCTGTTATCGGTAATGTAGCACAAGATCTTGGTTTAGATCTGAGGAGGCTCCGTTCTGGGCGGGCCCGTATCGTGACCGGAGAAAATATTCACTACACCGAGCTGAAGACAGACAAAGGGATTCTAGTGGTGAATGAGAGAATAGACCGAGAGCAGCTTTGTGGAGACGTGACACCATGTAGCTTCAGCTTTGAGGTGATTTTAGAAAATCCAATGGAACTGCACAGAGTAACTGTCGAGGTTTTAGATATAAATGATCATGCTCCCGTTTTCCCAAATAACGACAAGCCTATCAGTTTTGAAATTAGTGAATTAGCTGCAGTAGGAGTTCAGTTTCCACTGCAGAGTGCAGAGGATCTAGATGTGGGGCAAAACGCGTTACAAGATTATATGTTATCACCAAACGACAATTTCATATTGAAGCAACATGCAAATCCAGACGGAAGTAAATATGTTGAAATGGTGCTCCAGAAGCCTTTAGACAGAGAGCGACATCCCCATCTGTCTTTAAAATTAATCGCAGTTGACGGAGGAACACCACAGAGATCTGGTACAGTTAATATAGATGTTACTGTGTTAGATGCAAACGACAACATTCCGGTTTTTAACCAATCAGTGTATAAAGCATCTGTGATGGAAAACACACTGAAAGGCACCAGTATTATCACAGTAAATGCCACAGACGCTGACAGCGGTTCATATGGACTCATTACTTACAGTTTGTCGAAGACAAAAGGAAATGCAGCCGATATATTCAGTATTGATGAAAACACCGGACAAGTGTCTGTGTCTGGTCAGATAGATTATGAAAGAGACAGAAAATACGAGGTGAGAGTAGAGGCAAAGGATCAGGGTGGCCTAATCGGAACAAGTAAAATTATAGTTGATGTTTCTGACGTCAACGACAATGCTCCAGTTATTAATATTATGTCGTTTTCCAGCCCCCTGTCTGAGGATGCGCCTCCTGGTACAACGATTGCTATACTGAACATAAAAGATGTAGATTCTGAGAATAATGGTCAAATAAAATGTTCCATAGATGGTAAACTTCCTTTTAAGATCGAATCATCTCTAACAAATTATTACAATTTGATCTCAGATCAACATTTTGATAGAGAATCCGTCTCAGAATATAACATAACAATAACAGCCACTGATCTGGGGTCTCCCCCACTTTCTAGCTCCACAATATTACATCTTAAAATTTCTGACGTAAACGACAACGCCCCATTATTTGATAAAAGCAGCTACTCTGCTTACATCACAGAGAATAACTCCCCTGGAGTTTCTATATTTGCTGTCAGCGCGCGAGACTCTGACTGGAATCAAAACGCCAGAGTGTCGTATCTTTTAGAGGACACACAAGTCAGTGGCAGTCCAGTTTCTACTTATGTGTCTTTAAACTCTGAAAGCGGAGTTCTTAGTGCGGTTCGTTCTTTTGATTATGAGCAAATCAAACAGCTTCAGCTTGTAGTCAAAGCGCAGGATGGAGGCTCCCCTCCACTCAGTAGCAACGTGAGTGTGAAAATACTGATCCAGGACCAGAACGACAACCCTCCTCAGGTGCTGTACCCAGTGCAGACTGGTGGGTCTGTGGTGGCTGAAATGGTGCCTCGTTCAGCAGATGTGGGCTATCTGGTGACTAAAGTGGTGGCTGTTGATGTGGACTCTGGACAGAATGCCTGGCTGTCCTATAAACTGCAGAAAGCCACAGACAGGGCGCTGTTTGAAGTGGGCTTACAGAATGGAGAAATAAGAACTATCCGCCAAGTGACTGATAAAGATGCTGTCAAACAAAGACTGAGTGTTATAGTGGAGGACAACGGGCAGCCCTCTCGTTCAGCTACAGTCATTGTTAACGTGGCGGTGGCGGACAGCTTCCCTGAAGTGCTGTCTGAGTTCACTGACTTTGCACACGACAAGGAGTACAATGACAACCTGACTTTTTACTTAGTCTTGGCTTTGGCTGTAGTTTCCTTCCTCTTCATCACGTGTTTGGTGGTTATTATATCAGTGAAAATCTACAGATGGAGACAGTCTCGCATCCTGTATCACTCCAGTCTCCCTGTCATTCCATATTATCCACCACGTTACTCAGACACTTTGGGGACAGGGACTCTCCAACACGTGTACAATTACGAGGTGTGCAGGACGACGGACTCCAGAAAGAGTGACTGTAAGTTCGGCAGAGCCGGTAGTCAGAACGTGCTGATAATGGACCCCAGTTCTACAGGGACGATGCAGCGGCTACAGAGTGACAAGAGCATCCTGGATGAACCTGACTCTCCTCTAGAGGTGAGTCAAATATGTTAGCTTTTTCTACCTGGCTCCTGTGGTCTCTTTCAATGTTCAGTTAAATTATACAAGCCATAGTCGTACGTGCAGTAATTTTCAGCACCATGGACAGCATCACAGTTAGTCTGACCCTCTTTGTAAGAATTCTGCGTCTGTAAAACTCTTTGCATGTGTATCCGTGGCTTCAAGACCACATATCGTGGACATTATGTTATGCCAAAATTTTGCAATTCCAAGATTATATGTTGTTCTTGAAATATACCTGCACACTATACACTTCCAACTAATTTAATTTTGTTAATTTTTTTGATATGCAAAACACTCCCTACATCTCCACTGCTCATGCATCCTCGTTCATCACTATTTTTTGTAAAAACTTATTTTAAAACTGCTATACTTAGGCTGTTTATTCTAGGTGACTGTTGCTGCTTCCACATGACTGATTCAGTATAGCAACCTTCAGGTGATTGAGTTATTTTAACTGGGGTTGTAATTGATCTAATTTTAGAATAAAAGCATTGGTATTTTCAGATTTTACAGCTTGTGTGGAATTCTTAAGGTAAAAGTTATAGTTCATGTTTTATGTTCTCAGTTTGACCGTGTTGTACAGTTTTTTTTAGGGCAATTCAGTTCTCTACTTTATAATTCCTATCATTTTCCCTCCATTCCCGTGTTTAATACCATTCTATAGTTGAAGTACTTATTGTTTGCATTCCTGAGATACACTGTTGTGTGGCGTTATTACTGATGAGGGCCCCGGTATTGAAGTTGTCATATGCTAACATAGACCTATTTGTTTTCATTTGATGGTATCATTCATCTCTGTAAGGGAAATTGTCGTCATGTAATTACTATGATACCTGAATGTGCAGTTGTTTCCACCCTTATGATGACATGCGTTCACTGGACTCTAAGGGACGCTGTTGGTCAAGTTAAAATAATTCTGAAATGTTTCAGGCGGTGCCTTTCTACATCATTCTCTGCAGAGAGTGTGTATTCTTTAAACAGTAAAGGACGCTGAGGCTGGCGCAGATAGACTGGGTGTGATTTGATCTTTTTCACCACGAGAGAACGACCGATGGACATATAGATGTTTTTACTACACCTGAATTACGTTATTGTTAATCCTTCGGCTTTCTAAGAGAAGTGATTGCATAGTACCAATTCATAGCATTTTTTACAACATGGATTTTGGAATATGTGACTATCGGACTCTAAGATGGCGTTTGTGTTACAGATTGACGTCGCAGCGCATTCTGTTTATTCTTTTTCTCAGCCATATCGCCAGCAGTCAGATACGTTACTCAATCCCAGAGGAGATGAAAAATGGATCCCTTATTGGTAATGTCGCACAGGACCTTGGAATAGATATGCAGAGACTCCGCTCTGGCCGAGCCCGTATCGTGACCGGAGAGAGCATCCAGTACACCGAGCTGAAGACAGACAAAGGGACGCTGGTGGTGAATGAGAGAATAGACCGAGAGCAGCTTTGTGGAGACGTAACGCCGTGTAGCTTCAGCTTTGATCTGATTTTAGAAAACCCCATGGAACTACACCACGTTACGGTCGAAGTATTGGACATTAATGATAATTCACCCTCTTTTCATCAGCACGACATGCAGTTAACGATTGGAGAATCAGCCGCACCGGGAGCACGTTTTGTTTTGCCGACAGCAAATGATCCTGACGTAGGAGTCAACGGGCTTCAGGACTATCATTTATCTCCGAATGAGAACTTTATTTTAAAACAGCATTCAAATTCCGACGTAAGAAAACGTGCAGAGATGGTACTTGAGAAACCACTGGATAGAGAACGATATCCAAGTCTGTCCCTGAAGCTTATAGCGGTAGACGGTGGGACGCCACAGAAATCTGGTACAGTAAATATAGATATCACTGTCCTCGATGCCAATGACAATTCGCCTGTTTTTAATCAATCAGTCTATAAGGCCACTGTAACTGAAAATGCCGCAGTCGGTACCTATATCATTACTGTGAATGCTACTGACGCCGATAGCGGATCAAATGGTTTGATTTATTATTCTATGTCGAAAATGCAAGGCAGTATTGACAGTATATTCGAAATTAACAAGACAACAGGTGTAATTTTTCTGTCGGGGCAGGTTGACTATGAAAAAGCAAAGAAATATGAAATACACATTGAAGCAACAGACCAAGGAGCTTTAACTGATTCGAGTAAAGTCAAAGTTGAGGTGATTGACGTCAATGATAATCCACCTGTAATTAATGTGATGTCATTCACTAGTCCTGTGTCAGAGGACTCTCCTCCTGGAACAACTATTGGCATTATAAATGTAAAAGACCTGGATTCAGGTGATAACGGACAAGTAAACTGTAGAATAGAACAAAATGCACCTTTCAAGATTAAATCTATTTTAAGAAATTACTATACTTTGGTAACAGATACTGTGTTAGATCGTGAGAGTGTTTCAGAATATAACATCACTGTAGTTGCAACAGATGCAGGAATGCCTCCTCTCTCATCAACTAAAACTTTTCATCTAAAGGTCTCTGATGTGAACGATAATGCTCCAGTGTTTTCACAAAGTGTTTACAGTGCGTTTATCGTGGAAAATAACTCACTGGGTGTTTCACTTCTTACCGTAAGAGCGAAGGATCCCGATGAAAATCAAAACGCCCGTTTATCATATATTCTGGATGTTAATGACGTAGGCGGATTTCCAGTTTCTGAATATGTTTCTGTCAGTGCAGACAACGGAGTGATACACGCGGTACGCTCCTTTGATTATGAGCAAATCAAACAGCTGGTTTTCCTTGTAAAAGCGCAGGATGGAGGCTCCCCTCCACTCAGTAGCAACGTGAGTGTGAAAATACTGATCCAGGACCAGAACGACAACCCTCCTCAGGTGCTGTACCCAGTGCAGACTGGTGGGTCTGTGGTGGCTGAAATGGTGCCTCGTTCAGCAGATGTGGGCTATCTGGTGACTAAAGTGGTGGCTGTTGATGTGGACTCTGGACAGAATGCCTGGCTGTCCTATAAACTGCAGAAAGCCACAGACAGGGCGCTGTTTGAAGTGGGCTTACAGAATGGAGAAATAAGAACTATCCGCCAAGTGACTGATAAAGATGCTGTCAAACAAAGACTGAGTGTTATAGTGGAGGACAACGGGCAGCCCTCTCGTTCAGCTACAGTCATTGTTAACGTGGCGGTGGCGGACAGCTTCCCTGAAGTGCTGTCTGAGTTCACTGACTTTGCACACGACAAGGAGTACAATGACAACCTGACTTTTTACTTAGTCTTGGCTTTGGCTGTAGTTTCCTTCCTCTTCATCACGTGTTTGGTGGTTATTATATCAGTGAAAATCTACAGATGGAGACAGTCTCGCATCCTGTATCACTCCAGTCTCCCTGTCATTCCATATTATCCACCACGTTACTCAGACACTTTGGGGACAGGGACTCTCCAACACGTGTACAATTACGAGGTGTGCAGGACGACAGACTCCAGAAAGAGTGACTGTAAGTTCGGCAGAGCCGGTAGTCAGAACGTGCTGATAATGGACCCCAGTTCTACAGGGACGATGCAGCGGATACAGAGTGACAAGAGCATCCTGGATGAACCTGACTCTCCTCTAGAGGTTAGTTAAATATTTTAGCTTTGTATGCCTGGCCCCTTTATCCTCTTTCAATGCTGAGTTACATTGATAAAAGCCGCAGCCACACGTGCGGTCATTTTTAGCACCATGGCCAGCACCTCTGTTGGCATCGCCCTGTGCAAGTGTTTCGTCTTTTCCAGTCTTCATGAATACGGCTTTAAAAAGCACAGGTTACTGAACGGATCTCATTTGAAGTTTGGTATGTAGCTATGTTATATTGCCTGAATGCGTTTTGTGGACAATAGTGTTGTGTTATTTAAGGTTCAACTTCACGTGCTTGTGCAACGTTCAGTGTGCTCTCTTCGGAAAGAACGGTGCTGTTAGTATGGCTGACGTAAGGCATAAAGGCACTTAAACATTTAGGAGTTAAAACAGTGACAGTCCATTTATGAAAATAACAGTGCTGAAAAGTACTACAATAGAACCCGGATCCCCTACATACTTTTGCCTTACAATATAGGTGACGAGCCATCTTCATACATTTGCACTGCATGTTCCTGATCCAATACAGAATTTTTTGGATATCGAAGTATTTTGAGAGTGACACATCTATGTTTGTAAAGCCTTGAAAATTACAGAACTGTTGTTAAAAAAATAATTAATATGGGTCTTGAGTTTAAACTTGTATAACTGTCATATGCTTTTCCCCCTGTCGCATTTAGTGTGCTGCACGTGAATTTTTTGAGAATGCGATTTCATTTTCTGTTATTTTTGACAGGTGTTGTTTGTGTTATATTTCTAAGCAAAACTTAATATTATACAGTACTGTGCCGAGTTGAAACGTGCATGAATTTAAAAAGCTTAACAAACATTCCAGTATTATTTTCACATGAGGTAAAGATGTGTTCAGGTTCTCTGCTTCAGAGCTTTATTGTGGGGACTTATTTGATGTTCATGTTTTCGACTCTAAGCGACGCTGTTGGTCAGTGAAATAATTTCTGTGTCATGTCGTCATTCAGTCCATCCTCCGACTGACTATACAGTGAAGAAGGCTCTGTGTGTTGTGTAGAGGTTTGAGCGACGAAAGAGACAACATGGTCGCACAGACTTAAACCTTGAAGACGTGTTTAGATGTGACCAGTAAACGGAAACATCACAGCCTGCTTTATCCTCATATCAGTTGGATAAATATCACCTTTTTTTATTCTTTGTTGCCATGATGGCAACTCGAGGATCCGTCGCCTACATCTGCGCAAGATGGCGATTGTTTTGTGGATTGCGACGGCAAATAGGACTGTTCATGTTGCTGCTTCATGTGGTGAACATGGTAGGTGGTCAGATTCGTTATTCTATACCAGAGGAGATGAAGAAAGGCTCTGTTATCGGTAATGTAGCACAAGATCTTGGTTTAGATCTGAGGAGGCTCCGTTCTGGGCGGGCCCGTATCGTGACCGGAGAAAATATTCACTACACCGAGCTGAAGACAGACAAAGGGATTCTAGTGGTGAATGAGAGAATAGACCGAGAGCAGCTTTGTGGAGACGTGACACCATGTAGCTTCAGCTTTGAGGTGATTTTAGAAAATCCAATGGAACTGCACAGAGTAACTGTCGAGGTTTTAGATATAAATGATCATGCTCCCGTCTTCCCGAACAAAGACAAATCTATCAGCCTCGAAATAAGTGAATCAGCTGTAGTAGGAGTAAAATTTCCACTCTGGAGTGCAGAGGATCGAGATGTGGGGCAAAACGGATTGCAACATTACGTTTTTTCACCAAACGACAATTTCATATTGAAGCAACATGCAAATCCAGACGGAAGTAAATATGTTGAAATGGTGCTCCAGAAGCCTTTAGACAGAGAGCGACATCCCCATCTGTCTTTAAAACTAATCGCAGTTGACGGAGGAACACCACAGAGATCTGGGACAGTAAATATAGATGTTACTGTTTTAGATGCAAACGACAATGAACCACTATTTAACCAATCAGCATATAAAGCATCTGTGATGGAAAACACACTGAAGGGGACTGGTATTGTGACAGTAAATGCCACAGACGCTGACAGCGGTTCATATGGACTCATTTCGTACAGTTTGTCTCAGACGACAGGAAGTGCAGCAAATATATTCAGTATTGATGAAAACACCGGAAAGGTTTCTGTGTCTGGTCAGATAGATTATGAAAAAGACAGAAAATACGAGGTGAGAGTAGAGGCAAAGGATCAGGGTGGCCTAACCGGGACAAGTAAAATCGTAGTTGATGTTATTGATGTCAACGACAATGCTCCAGTTATTAATATTATGTCGTTTTCCAGCCCCCTGTCTGAGGATGCGCCTCCTGGTACAACGATTGCTATACTGAACATAAAAGATGCAGATTCTGAGAATAATGGTCAAATAAAATGTTCCATAGATGGTAAACTTCCTTTTAAGATCGAATCATCTCTAACAAATTATTACAATTTGATCTCAGATCAACATTTTGATAGAGAATCCGTCTCAGAATATAACATAACAATAACAGCCACTGATCTGGGGTCTCCCCCACTTTCTAGCTCCACAATATTACATCTTAAAATTTCTGACGTAAACGACAACGCCCCATTATTTGATAAAAGCAGCTACTCTGCTTACATCACAGAGAATAACTCCCCTGGAGTTTCTATATTTGCTGTCAGCGCGCGAGACTCTGACTGGAATCAAAACGCCAGAGTGTCGTATCTTTTAGAGGACACACAAGTCAGTGGCAGTCCAGTTTCTACTTATGTGTCTTTAAACTCTGAAAGCGGAGTTCTTAGTGCGGTTCGTTCTTTTGATTATGAGCAAATCAAACAGCTTCAGCTTGTAGTCAAAGCGCAGGATGGAGGCTCCCCTCCACTCAGTAGCAACGTGAGTGTGAAAATACTGATCCAGGACCAGAACGACAACCCTCCTCAGGTGCTGTACCCAGTGCAGACTGGTGGGTCTGTGGTGGCTGAAATGGTGCCTCGTTCAGCAGATGTGGGCTATCTGGTGACTAAAGTGGTGGCTGTTGATGTGGACTCTGGACAGAATGCCTGGCTGTCCTATAAACTGCAGAAAGCCACAGACAGGGCGCTGTTTGAAGTGGGCTTACAGAATGGAGAAATAAGAACTATCCGCCAAGTGACTGATAAAGATGCTGTCAAACAAAGACTGAGTGTTATAGTGGAGGACAACGGGCAGCCCTCTCGTTCAGCTACAGTCATTGTTAACGTGGCGGTGGCGGACAGCTTCCCTGAAGTGCTGTCTGAGTTCACTGACTTTGCACACGACAAGGAGTACAATGACAACCTGACTTTTTACTTAGTCTTGGCTTTGGCTGTAGTTTCCTTCCTCTTCATCACGTGTTTGGTGGTTATTATATCAGTGAAAATCTACAGATGGAGACAGTCTCGCATCCTGTATCACTCCAGTCTCCCTGTCATTCCATATTATCCACCACGTTACTCAGACACTTTGGGGACAGGGACTCTCCAACACGTGTACAATTACGAGGTGTGCAGGACGACAGACTCCAGAAAGAGTGACTGTAAGTTCGGCAGAGCCGGTAGTCAGAACGTGCTGATAATGGACCCCAGTTCTACAGGGACGATGCAGCGGATACAGAGTGACAAGAGCATCCTGGATGAACCTGACTCTCCTCTAGAGGTGAGCCGAATTATGTAGCATCTTCTTATGGTCGTTTTTTTCTCGTTATACATTTTATTACATCGATAATAACGTGTTACACGTATGTATAACCCCTTCATCTGATGTGCTGTTTTTGGTGACACATACGTTACTCTGATAAAGTGGCATGTTGATTTAACAATTACTTTATATTTTTGAAAGGACAGTTTCAATCATGTCGCTCTGTGTCTGTGCCGTTATTTCTCCTTCTGTGTTTAGTTAGATTGATAGTAAAGTGCTGCACCTTATACAGTCCTCTTCACCACCACGGACAGCACCTCAAGTTAAACGTGTTGGGGACACTGTTAAGTTTATTTTCAAATGATATTGCCCTTTATTCTCATTTGCTGGTTCGCTGTTTTTATTGTGTCACCCACACAAAGCTTTTACTTAGTTGCATTTTCTGTTAATGCTAACAGATTGCTTGCATCTTTCTAAATGTGCCTGTGCAGCGTGTGATCTCCAGTCTCTTGAATGCTTTCACTCGCGACTGTTGACAAAGTTGTTTGTGTGTGACTTATTTTACTGATAGTCAAATAGTCTCCTTTTACTACTTTCATTTAACATAAATTCTATTTCGAAGGTCGTTGTTATCTTTTCCTTCTTTCTCAGCGGTTCCCCAAATACTATAGAATTGCAGTGGTATTTTGGTTTTGTTAATTTATGCGACGTGTATGCAAGTCTATTTCATTGAACACATTTGCATATTTTAGAGTTAATAACATAAGAGCAGAATTATACTAAAAGTCATCGTGATATCTATTCCCATTTTAATATTTTTATTGGAATATTGTGTTGAAGTTTTTTTTTTTTATTAATTTGATATGCACCAGTCAAATGTAATGAACCACTTCATATTTGCAGAAATAGTTCTCTACTGTATGATGTTACTAATGTTGGACTCTAAGGGACGCTGTTGGTCAATGCATCACAGTCTCTAAAACATTACCACACAGTCTCCTCCCTTACTACCGTGTGCTATTAGAGAAAAGAGGATAGTGTGCAGTATGTGGGTTGACATAGGAGGAAACAGACTCGCATTTATTGATATCTA